GGAAAGACCAAAAACTCATTCCCTCGCTGATCAGTGAGGGATCTGGTCAAAAGCAATTTTCCTCACTGATTTTTTTATTTGTTAACTACAAATTTAATTAATTATTGTTCCTAATGAGTTGTATATTCCCCCAAGTGACATGTACTACCATATGCTTGTAAGCTGTAAATAGATTGGTGCATGTAAATAACAACATAGATGTTACTATATATGTTAGGATTGTGTTATGAATTTAGGTCAAGGACAATACAAGTATTGTATCATAAAAAACACATATTTGTGTAACCATAAGGGTGGTGTCTGATTGGTTTGATCTTGGCTCCAAAGGTCAAAAGTACCAGGAGGTCTCAGGTTCAAAATCCAAGCAAGAATAAAAATCTCCTTGTGGCCACGGAGGTTCAAATACAGTGACTCCAAAATATCTGCAAAATAGATGATCTTCCTGAGATTAATCAACGTGCATAATAAGTTGGATATCCAGGTTAATTAAAAAAACACACATTTGTGTTTGTTACAACGGTCCCATTTGTAATGAAGGGTTAAGATTCAAAGGGCAGCCATGGCCCATTGACTTTCCATCTCTTTTTCCTAACAACTTCCATTCAATTCCCATCACACACCAAACCAAATTATAAGCTGACAAAAAAGAAATTATAGAAATTAAAGCTGTGAAGCGTGTAAGTTGATTCGGTTTACAATAATATATATATATATATATATATATATATATATATATATTGTATTACAAAACATTTGATAAAAGCTTTTAAAAACTATTTTTGATGCATTAAGTACTGTTTATTGATGTATATTACTTAAAGTTTAAAAATTACAAGTAAATTATGCGCAAGTACAATTGATTAAAGCTTCATATTTCAATTTCGTGTAACTAACTATAGGTAAACATAATCAAATAGTGGATAAACATCTCATTTTAAATATAAAAAAAATCTAAAATATAATTAGAATAATCATTAAGTTCTAACAAAATATTTAATTATTATCTTTATAAAAAATCTATATACATATTAAAGGAGAAACCAAAATAATGAGGTGGCACCTTCTAATGCCTAGAACCCCTCCTATCTTTTTTCTCATTTTTTTTGATTTTTTTAAATGTTAAATATGTTAAAGACTTTTTTGTCCCTGGATGAAAATGTATAGCTCATAATTAAACCGGGTTATTTTTGTAATTTTGTATACCAAAGTTTAACCTCCAACTCTTCATTTGCTCTTCCATTTACTTTCTTTTATTTTTTAATGAATTTGTTTTTCAAAATTTCAATAATAAACAAAATGAATCCTAGAAAATCCTTTGGTGAGGGATGAAGAAGGTGAGAGTTGAAGAAGAATTCAAAGGTTTTAAAAGGTATGTAGAAATTATATTCATTAAAAATATGATTTGTTATTACATATTTCTTTTCAATATTGTTGGATTTGTTGTTATCATAGGATATGATTGTGTTTACGATTGGATCATATAAATTGTGTTTAGTGTTTACGATTTGATCATATAAATTCGAATAAAATTTTGATATTTCGTAATCATAGGATATGATAAACTTTTTTTCGAATTTAAGCTTCATTAACAATAACTATTTATACGTGATTGATAATTACGTTAAATTTTGACTACTTCAAGAGTTTTTCAATTGACATAAATCATTTRGTGAGTAATGAAGAAATAAGAGTTGAAGAAAATTTAAAAGATTTTAGAARGTATCTAAAAATTATATTATTTACAAAATGTGATTTGTTATTACATATTTCTTCTTTTCAATATTATTGGATTTGTTGTTATCGTATGACATGATTGTGTTTACGATTGGATCATATAAATTCGAATAAAATTTTGATATTTTATGCTTACAAGATATTATAAAAAACGAATTTAAACTCCGTTCACAATAATTGTTTATACGTGATTGATAATCATCAATATATATATATATATATATATATATATATATATATATATATAAAGGAGAAACCAAGTACAATAGGTGCATTTCTCTAGATATTAGAAACTTATCTTTCCTTTTTCCTAGATTTTTGATTTTTTAAAAATATTTGATATGTAAAAGACTTTTCAATCCCTATTTTTAAAACATGAAATTCATTAAAATAAGGTTGTTTTGGTAATTTTAAAAAATTTAACCTCCAACCTTTTCAGCTTCATTATTGGAGATGAAACCTCTAAACACTTTCATGTGCTCCTCCATGATTTGTCAATGTTTTTATAATATTAAATAAGTTATATTATTCTACCCCTAAATTCATGTAAGAATTGTTACATTTTATATTTATATTATTTAAACAAACACTTAAAATGATGTTTATGTATTTATTTATTTGAAAACAAATAAAATGTGATATTCATGTGGTATTTGTATGTGTATTTATTTGCTTTTAAAAACGTTAAATGAGATATAATATAGATGAGATAAAAAACGGAATAAAAAACGAAARGTSTAGAACATTTATGAGTTAATGAAAGATAATTAATATAACCAACAAAATAAATCCAAAAATTTGAAAAAAAAAAATGAATTATGAAATAACTTTTCCACAAAGTGTCAYACAAGAAACTTCATATTTTAAAAAACTTCATAGTAAAATATGAAGTTTTTTAAAATATAAATCTAAAAGTAAAATATGAATTTTTTTATATGACATTTTGTGGAAACGTTATTTCATAATTCATTTTTTTTCAAATTTTTAGATTTATTTTGGATTTATTTTGTTGGTTATATTAATTATCTTTCATTAACTCATAAATGTTCTA